AAAAACATAAAACAGGAACCAGTTACCTCAAGATTTGATAGATCTGTGGAATCTATAACATCCAGATAATTTATTTTCTCAGCAGAACCCTGAAATAATTCCAAAATGAACGTTAACAGGTCTGGAGAATTAAATGTTAGAATAGCTGAGCAAAGGCCCACAGAGTAGCTGCTCTTTTTAGATGTTTCATCTTTATTTAGCTCAGTTTTGTCCATTCGTATTTCCAGAAAATTGTCTCAGATTTTTTGTTATTCAAATAACCAGTTCTTAGACTTATTAATCAATTTTACTGGGGTTCTGTATGGTAATTATTAATTTCTGCTTCAAATGTTCATTTCTTAGGCTTTCCTGAGCGTTTGTTTAAACCTTGTATTGTTTGGGCACGATGGCTCACGCCTGTAATCCCAGCACCTGAGGAAGCCAAGGAGGGAGGATCCCTTGAGCCCAGGAGTTTAAGACCAGCCTGGGCAACATAGGGAGACCTCATCTCTTCAAAAAAAAAAGAACAAAAAATAGCTGGTTGGTATGCACCTCTAGTCCCAGCTACTCAGGAGGCTGAGGTGGGATAATGGCCTGAGGCCAGGAGGCAGAGGTTGCAGTGAGCTGTGATTGCGGCACTGCACTCCAGCCTGGGCAACAGAACCAGACCTTCATATGTTTTTGCAGAGACAGGCTGGTCTCCAACTCCTGGGCTCAAGCAGTTCTCCCTCCTTGGCCTCCCAAAGTGCTGGGATTACAGATCTGAGCCACTGTGTCTGGCCTGTTTCCTAATCTCTTATTATCTCTATTTTTGTCTTTTTGGGTTGTATTCTAGGTAATTTCTTCAGATCTGTCTTGGAATTCATTGGTTATCTCTCTTCAGCTATGTCTAATCTGCTATTTTAATATTTATATTATTAATTTTCATAAGATATAGTATTAAATCATATTACACATCTATTTATTTTTATTTTCTTTTTGAGACAAGGTCTTGCTTGGTCACTCAGGCTGGAGTGCAGTTGGATGATCACTATTTTGTTTTTAAAAGATGCAATGTGGCCGGGCGCGGTGGCTCACGCCTGTAATCCCAGCACTTTGGGAGGCCGAGGCGGGTGGATCACGAGGTCAAGAGATCGAGACCATCCTGGTCAACGTGGTGAAACCCTGTCTCCACTAAAACTACAAAAAATTAGCTGGGCCTGGTGGTGCGTGCCTGTAATCCCAGCTACTCAGGAGGCTGAGGCAGGAGAATTGCCTGAACCCAGGAGGCGGAGGTTGCAGTGAGCCGAGATCGCGCCATTGCACTCCAGCCTGGGTAACAAGAGCGAAACTCCGTCTAAAAAAAAAAAAAAAAAAAAAGATACAATGTAATTTAGAAAGGAATGTCTCCTTACCCCAGTTATCTATGTTCAAATGCCAGGTCCACTGTTCTGTGCTATGGAATTTTAGGTAAATTATTCCTGAGTCTCAGTCACCACATTTGTAAAATAGAAACAATAATAATATCTTCCTTAAAGGGTGTTGTTTGAATTATGAATTAACTATTAACATGCCTAGTGCCTGTGATCTCTTTCTTATTTCTGCGATTATTTCATCATTATCCCAGAAAATCCCTGAAGCCCTTAGCCATTATCCCTAAATCTTCCCAGCCCTAGATAACCACTAATCTACTTCTTGTCTCTATAGATTTGCCAGTTCTGGACATTTCATATAAAAGGAATCATACAATATGTGGTCTTGTGACTAGCTTCTTTAATTTAGCATAATATTTCAAGGTTCATTCATGTAGCATGTATCAGTACTGTGTTACTTTAAATGGCCAACTAATATTCCATTTTATGGATATATGACTTACGACTCTTTTTTTTCTTTTAGAGATGGGATATTGGCATGTTGCCCAGGATGGAGTACAGTGGCTATTTCTCAGGCATGATCATAGTGCACTGTAGCCTCAAACTCTTGGATTCAAGCAATCCTCCTGTCTCAGCCTCCTAATTACTGGGACTACAGGTGCACACCACTGCACCTGGCTCAACTATTTTTTATATACATTCATCAGTTGAATGACATTTGTACTGTTTCCATTTTGTGTCTATGAATAATGCTGGTATGAACATTCATATACAAATTTTTGTGTAGAGACATGTTTTCATTTATCTTGAGTATACACCTAGAAGTGAAATTGCTGGAACATACCCATTTTGAGTCAATTTTTGTGAAAATATAAAATCTATGTGTAGTTTCCATTTCCTTTTTGTTTTTTTATTGTTTTTTTGGGGTTTTTTGTTTTGTTGTTTGTTTTTTTGCTTATGGATATCTAGTTGTTCCAACACCATTTGTTGAAAAGACCATCCTTTCTCTATTGAATTGCCTTTGGTCCTTCATCAAAGATCAGTTGACTATATTTGTGTTGATCTGTTTCCAAACTCTCTGTTCTGTTCCATTGATCCATGTCTTAATTCTTTTGCCAATATCACAGTCTTGATTACTGTAGCTTTATAGTAATTTTTCAAGTTGAGTAGTGTAGTGTCAGTTCTCCAGTTTTTCTTCAAAGTTAGTATTTTGAGTCTTTTCCTTTTCCTTGTAAATTTTAGAGTTAGTTTGTTGATAACCACAAAATAACTTGCGGTGATTTTGATTAAGATTGCATAGAATGGTGGGGTGCGGTGGCTCAAGCCTGTAATCCCAGCACTGTGGGAGGCTGAGGCGGGTGGATCACGAGGTCAAGAGATCGAGACCATCCTGGTCAACATGGTGAAACCCCGTCTCTACTAAAAAAATACAAAAAATTAGCTGGGCATGGTGGCGCGTGCCTGTAATCCCAGCTACTCAGGAGGCTGGGGCAGGAGAATTGCCTGAACCCGGGAGGCGGAGGTTGCGGTGAGCCGAGATTGCGCCATTGCACTCCAGCCTGGGTAACAAGAGCAAAACTCCGTCTCAAAAAAAAAAAAAGATTGCATAGAATGTATATATCAAGGTGGAAAGAACTGGCATCTTACGATATTGAGTCTTCCTACCCATGAATATTACATCTCTCTCTACTCATGTAGCTGTTTGTAAACATTATCTTTCATCAGAATCGTGTGGTTGTCTTTATATAGATCTTGTACACATTTTGTTATATGTATTCTTTTTTTTTTTTTTTTTGCCCACCTGCAACTGTCTTGATCAAGTTATATATATTCATTCTTAAGTATTTTTTTGGTGCTAATTAAAATGGCAGTGTGTATTTTATTTTTGTTTTTTTGAGACAGAGTCTCACTCTTGCCCAAGCTGGAGCGCAGTGGCGTTGAAGCAGGAACGGCGGGGAACAAACCTCTGAAACAACGAACTGAGGAAGGAAGTGGCTTTTTATTCGGCCAGGAGCTGCAGGTGGGCTGCAGCCTCATTCACGGAGCTCCGGGAGCTGCAGCTTCTCTCCCCTTTTATAGGCTTATGCTAAAGGAGAAATGGGCGGAACTATGTCATTGTCCATTTGCTGGATTTCTGACCTTACAATCTTTTGACTTCATTGATTTGCTAATTCATACGCAGCTTGAGGTGGAGGGGGACGGCAAGAGAAGGGGGCTTACAGAGACCGGACAAAAGCAGCAAGCTGTTTGTTGGCAGAGGTGTTTCCAGGAGGGAGCCTGGTCTGTGGAGATGTGGGGGCGTGACCCAGTGCCTGGCTCCAGCCGGCAGAGATAACATTCATTTGCAGCTCTTTCAAAGTTAGCAGATAGCAGAGATGCTGGGAACTAAAGAGGGAGTCATTTTTCCAGCTCGTTGGTATTTTATTTCATTTCATTTTTTTTCCTTCTTCACCCTCCTTCCCTTCTGGAAAGGGGGAAGGAGGAGGTGAAATAGAAGGTGAAGGGGTCTCCCCTCCCAGCGTGGTCTCGGCTAACTGCAACCACCACCTCCCGGGTTCAAGCAATTCTCTTGCCTCAGCCTCCCATGTAGGTGGGACTACAGATGCATGCCACCACGCCCGGCTGGTTTTTGTATTTTTAGTAGAGACGGACGGGGTTTCACCATGTTTGCCAGGGTGGTCTCGCTCCTGACCTCAGGTGATCCATCCACCTCAGCCTCTCAAAATGCTGGGATTATAGGCATGAGCCACTGCCCCTGGCCAGCAATGTGTTTTTAGTGTGGAATTCTAATTGTTCATTGCTGGTATATAAGAAAACAGTTGAGCTGGGCGCGGTGGCTCACGCTTGTAATCCCAGCACTTTGGTAGGCCGAGGTGAGTGGATCACCAGAGGTCAGGAGTTCGAGACAGGCCTGGCCAACATGGAGAAACCCCATCTCTACTAAAAATACAAAATTTAGGGGATCGTGGTGGTAGGCGCCTGTAGTCCCAGCTACTCGGGAGGCTGAGGCAGTAGAAGTGCCTGAACCCGGGAAGCAGAGGTTGCAGTGAGCTGAGATGCCACGGCACTCCAGCCTGGGTGACGAGCAAAATTCCGTCGAAAGGAAAGAAGGAAGGAAAGCAGAAGAAAGGAAAGAGGAAGGAAGGGAAAGAGATAGGGAGGGTCAAAGGAAGGAAGGGGGGAGCGAGGGAAGGAAGGAAAAAGAAAACAGTTGGCTGGGGCCGGGCGCGGTGGCTCAAGCCTGTAATCCCAGCACTTTGGGAGGCCGAGGCAGGTGGATCACGAGGTCACGAGATCGAGACCATCCTGGTCAACATGGTGAAACCCCGTCTCTACTAAAAATACAAAACATTAGCTGGGCATGGTGGTGCGTGCCTGTAATCCCAGCGACTCAGGAGGTTGAGGCAGGAGAATTGCCTGAACCCAGGAGGTGGAGGTTGCGGTGAGCCGAGATCGCGCCATTGCACACCAGCCTGGGTGACAAGAGCGAAACTCCGTCTCAAAAAAAAAAAAAAAAAAAAGAAAACAGTTGGCTGGTGTTGAAACCCTGTCTCCTAAAAATACAAAAATAATCCCAGCTACTTGGGAGGCTGAGGCAGAAGAATGGCTTAAACCTGGGAGGTGAAGGTTGCAGTGAGCTGAGGTCATGCCACTGCACTCCAGCCTGGTGACAAAGCAACACTCCATCTCAAAAAAAAAAAGTTAACAAAGATAGTTTAATTTCTTCCTTCCCAAACTTTTATCTTCTTTTCTTGTCTTACTGAACTAATTAGGGCTTCAATATGATGTTGAATAGGAGTGGCGAGAGGGGGACATCTTTATTCTAATTTTAGGGAGAAAACTTCTAGTTTCTCACCATTAAGTATACCCTAGTGGCAGGGTTTTTTGGTAGTTGTTCTTTAGCAAGTTAAGGACAGTTCCCCTCTACTAGTTTGAATGAGTGAATGTTGGATTTCTGAGGCTTCAGTTTGAAATCATGTGAATGCTTGTGTGACATCCAGAGGGGAATGTTAGGAAGGTGGTTAGAGATAAGCATAGTATCTAGGAGAGGGAACTGAGTCAAGGAAGAGCAGGGAATCACTGGCACATTCACGATGCCCGAAGTCATGGCTATTGATGTGATTGCCAGGGAAGTATGTGCTGCTGCTATTGATCAGGCAGCTGGTTAACTTGATCAAAAATAATCAAAATTCTGTGCACAATAAATACCTGTGACTCTAAATGTGTGTTCCTGAGGATAGCCTGACTACCTCACTGGGACCACAGTGTAAAGACTGTTGATGACTTGCTGTACCTTAGGCACTCTGCTAGACAGTGCCTCGCACTATCAGGTTATCTCACTTGATCCTTGCAATGTTCAGGATGAGCACTGTTAATCCCATTACCCAGACTGAGAAAACTGAAACCCAGAGAGTCTCAATATCTTACCCAGGTGAGAGTGCTCATAAGACAGGGCTGAAAGTGACTCTGAAGCGTGTGCTTGCCCTGCCACACTGCCCACAGTGTTTGGGCAAGGTGAAAAAACAGGCTCAGATGGGAATGACTACAGGGAGTCTGAGGAGAGGATGTGGGCTCCATCTTCTGCTCCGTTGAGTTACCTGGAGTGGCCTGAGGCTCAACACCACTCCGTCTAGGAGGGAAGGGCTTGCTTGGCCCAAAGCGCCTAGCCTGGAGTGTCTAGTCCTGCACTGCAAGAAGAGCTGTAGGTCTAAGGAGAACCTCCACCTCCAGAATTCAGGCAATGGTGGCTAAGATGGGAGGACAGTTACCCATCCACTGACCCTGGCCCCTCACACTCTGAAGCCCTGGTCTTCCACATGCCCTGACCCAGCATACCTGTACTCTCCAACCCCCGAGGGTGGGCCTGAGCTGAGTTTGAGTCTGTGTGCTGCTTTTTACAGTGTTTGAATAATTCAGGCCCCAGAGGCCTAAGGTGTCAGTTTTCCTTGCTCTGTTGTCATGGGCACAGGTGTCTCAACACCTGTGTAATGCACATGTGTAATTAAGCTAATGAAAGGACAGAGAGGGAGGGGTGTTGTCCTGTGCCTTGGACTCCTCTAGGCTGATCAAGGGAAGTCCCTGTTCCCTGTTCTGCTGAGAGAGCAGCAGGCTCATCTAGAGTCCAGGTGTGGGGAATGGAAGAAGGAAGGAAGGAAGGGTGAAACAGAAGTAGGAGAAAGGGAGAGAGTACAAAGAAGTGGACAGGGGACAATCAGAGTCAGGGAGGCAGAGAGACCAAGAAAATTACAGAGGGAAAGACAAGGAAGCAGAGGCAGAACAAAAGGCAAAGTGGGTGGGGAGCATAGGAAAGGGCAGGCAGAGGCCAGAAAAAGCAAGGCCCAGCAGAGAAGAAGGACCAAGCACTCAAGTCCAGGGGCAAGCACCAGTTGGAGGATCAGAAGACAGGAGGGCTGCAGGGCGCCTTAGAGGGTGGCTGGACCCACCAGAGATCTCAGTCTTACTTCTGACTTCTAGGTACTGTCCACACCATCCTTGCCAGCTGGGCCTAATTTTGCCTTAGGTCTGGCCAGGAGGCCTCACACCCAGAGACCTGCCCCACTTCCTACTGTGGCAGGGCCATGGGGCTTCGGAGCCACCACCTCAGCCTGGGCCTTCTGTTGCTGTTTCTACTCCCTCCAGGTATGAAGCTCAGTACCCCAGCCCTGGCCTCTCCTGGTAGTGCTGCTATTCCCGTCCTCCCCAAATCCCTCTCCATGTGGTCTCTCTTCTCTTTCTCCTCAGTACCTGTTCTGAGAGCAAGCTCTCTATTCAGGGAGTGTAGAGGAGAAGGGTGCCGAAGAGGCTGAGAGGAGACTTGCTTGGCTGGGGTGGGAACAGTGAGCAGGGAGACTCCAGAGACGGGGCTAGGAAAATCAGAGGGGCTAGATGCTGAAGGGCCTGCCGGCCAGGCCAGGACTTTCTCTTGCAGACAATGGGGAGCACCGAAAGGTTTCAGCAGCATCCTGGCCTGGTCAGATGTGCATGCTTAAAAGCATGGTCTACGGGCATGGAACGGGTAGGGAAAGGTGAGCCTCAAGGGGGGGGGGATAGCAGTAAGGGGAAGGGCCTGGCTAGGAGGGTAGAGGATGGACTCAAGACAATGTTTAGTGAAATCTGGAGGATTGGAAGGATCTGACAGGATCTGGAGATTGACTGGATTCTCCAGGGAGGAGGTGGGAGAGGGAGAAGGGAGGGATAATTCCCACATTTCCAGCTGAGGTCACTAGTCCAGCTGAGGGCATGCTGTTTGCTAAGATAGGGAACATGGGATAAGAAGCAGTTTTCGGTCGGGTGCAGTGGCTCATGCCTGTAATCCCAGCACTTTGGGATGCCGAGGCGGGTGGATCATGAGGTCAAGAGATCGAGACCATCCTGGCCAACATAGTGAAACCCTGTCTCTACTAAAATACAAAAATTAGCTAGGTGTAGTGGTGCACGCCTGTAGTCCCAGCTACTTGGGAGGCTGAGGCAGGAGAATTGCTTGAAGCCGGGAGGCGGAAGTTGCAGTGAGCAGTGGGCTGAGATCGGCCACTGCACTCCAGCCTGGCGCCTGGCAAAAGAGCGAGACTCTGTCTCAAAAAAGCAAGTTTCAGAGCATAGAGGGAAGAACTGAGTTCATATTTTGTTCCCTCAGAGTTTACGATGCCTGTGGGAAACCCAGGAGTAGACTGTACTCTATTTGGGTCTGGAGCTCAAGAGAAAAATCTGGGATAAAGAAAAAGAAGGGAGCCAAGGACGGGATTCTCAGGAAGAATCTTTAGTTCTGGGATTGACGACAGTGTGTGTCAGGAAAGCCTAGGGAAGTGTGTTTTCAGAAAGAGGGAATGTTCCATCGTATCAGAAGTTTTGAAGAAACGAGCTTGAGATGGAGAAGTGGAAACTGTAAGATTATTCGAAAGAAAGGAGAGACAGACCCAGGGTCAGGTTTAGCAAGTTTATTTAACCTGCCAGGCTGTCTTACCACAGGCAGTGAAGGCAGCCGCCTGGCTTACAGACTATGGGGGTTATATAGGGGTTTGCAGGTAGTCGGGTACTATTCTAAGAAAAACTATTCTGGTTCTTAGGGCTGACGTCCTGTTCACTGGGGTCAACATCTTGGGTTTGAGAGCCACGTGCGACCACATCCCAAAATCTAGGTGCCCTGTTTACAAGGCCTGAGGCTGTTTCTGTTACAAGCTTGGCTTAACGGGAGAATGGAGTGGGTGGGCTATGGGCCCTTCTTGTTATAACCCTAACAGAAACAGGTTTAAGAGAGACGAGGGGGCAGAGCAGTGGGGTTCAGAATCCCTGGGTGAAAGTCTATACTCTTGGGGCTTATTTGGGTTGCTCCCGCATTTGTGGAGAGGCAGACAGACTCCAGGTCCTTGGAAAGGGAAGGGTGGAGGAGAAATTTGTCAGCCTGGTGCCAGAAGATAGGACCAGTTCACTCCACGGCCTTTAAATCATGTGTCCCTGCAGGGAGAAACTAGAGCCACAGCTAGAGCAAGAGAGGGCAGACACTGTGGAGGGCATTCATAAGGACAGGGCCCCAGCCCTGGCAGTGGAGGGTGGGAGCAGAGGCCCCAGGACTAGGGCCTGGGATGGACAACCCTCCTTACTGCCCCTCCAGAGTGCCTGGGAGCTGAGGGCCGGCTGGCTCTCAAGCTCTTCCGTGACCTGTTCACCAACTACACAAGTGCCCTGAGACCTGTGGCAGACACAGACCAGACTCTGAATGTGACCCTGGAGGTGACACTGTCCCAGATCATCGACATGGTGCGTTGTGGTGGTGATACAGCTGTAGAATCTTAGCTGTCTCAGTGTCAAGAAATGAAGGGGTGAGAGACTGGGATTCTTCTCCATGGAATCCCTTTTCTGTAAATATTAATATTAACAACAACAGTAACGGTTACTAACTATGGGGTACTGACTGTTGGGTGCCTACTTTCTACCCAACATTTTGCACACTTGAACTTACTGAATCCTTGCTAAGCAGGGATTCTTACCCCATATAACTGCTGAGGAAACTGAGGCCCAGAAAAAAGAAGAGCCCACTAAGGTTACATGGCAAGGTCAGGCCTGGGTGGGAACTGGACAGTATGGACAAGTTGGGTTTGTGGGTGCTGACCAGAGCCTTGCAGGTGAGTGTGCACAAACAGGGCAAGATATACATATACATGTCCACATCTCTGCCACTCCCTGCCCCCACTAGGATGAACGGAACCAGGTACTGACTCTGTACCTGTGGATACGGCAGGAGTGGACAGATGCCTACCTTCGATGGGACCCCAATGCCTATGGTGGCCTGGATGCCATCCGCATCCCCAGCAGTCTTGTGTGGCGGCCAGACATCGTACTCTATAACAAGTACTGCCTATCTGGGCCCCTCCCCTCTCCTACCCCTCTCTAGACTTGCCCTTAGCCCTGAGTGTGCACTGATGCCCTCTCCCTACCACCTAACCCAGTTGCCATGCTGCCCTGGAAGCATTCCCCCAGGACCTTTCTAAGCTGCCCAGCACTCATAGCCCCTCCATGGCACCCCCACTTTAGGCTATCCCAGACCAGCCCAGGCTGAACGTCTCCTGGGAACCTACTGTGTGGTCCAGGGCAGATGTCTGAATCACAAGGGCCTCTCTAGGGCACACTTTTAGCTCCAGGTCTCTCAGGGCTCTCTCAAGAGCCTAAGGGTCTCTTTCCTCCAGGACATAGCCCTCTGGAACACTGCTTTATTGTCTCCTTGACCAGTTTCGTGTCTCAGCCAACATATAGCTCTGCATATTTTCTCTGGGAACCCCTCTACATGTTTTGCAGATGGCCCCCAAGGGAAGTCACTGTATGGCCCAGAGGTACCTCTGGGTTCTGCAGAGGCCTTTTTTTTTTTTTTGAGACAGAGTGTTGCTCTATCACCAGGCTGGAGTGCAGTGGCGCAATCCCAGCTCACTGCAACTTCCGTTTTCCAGTTTCAAGCAATTCTCCTGCCTCAGCCTCCCGAGTAGCTGGGACTATAAGCATGCACAACCACGCCTGGCTAATTTTTTTGTATTTTTAGTAGAGACGGGTTTCACCATGTTGGTCAGGATGGTCTCGATCTCTTAACCTTGTGATCTGCCCGCCTCAGCCTCCCAAAGTGCTGGGATTACAGGGGTGAGCCACGGTGCCCCGCCTGCAGAGGCCTTTTTATACATCCTTTAGCTAGTCTGTGTCCCTTCTGGACCCTTCAGGCACCACCCCTTCCAGCCCTTGAAAGGCAGTGGGTCTCTCTAGGTGCACTTCACCCTCTATGTGGCTTTTTTCTGAAAACAAAAATAAAATTAACGAAAGAAAAGCAGAAGTTTATTAACCTGCTGTACCCCTCACAGGAGAGGCCTTAGTTCAAAAGTATTTTTCTCTGAGGGCAGCGGCTTAGGGGCCTTGTTTAAATAGAGATTCAAGAAAGAGCCAATAAATTGTAAATAGTGGCAAGACAAAGGAGAGGGCAGTTCCAGCCTTTAAAAGGCAGGAAAACGTGGGAAGAGGGTGAAATCTGTTCCCAGATTCCTCTGGTGCCTGCTGGTGCCCTTTGGATAAGCAAGTGCTGTCTCCAGCAAGGAAGGACTGATGTCCTGCCATCAGGCCAGCAGAGGCTGGGGCCGGGTGCACCCCTGCGTCGTGAGTGTCTCGAACTTAACCAGCCTCAATATTCTGGGGAGAAGTTTTGGTTTCCGTCAGTTGGGGGTCTGCCGTGGGCTCCCCGCCGGCTGCTCCTTCGGCAGAACAGCCTGGGTGAGCCCCGCCCCGCCTGTCCACAGGGCGGATGCGCAGCCGCCAGGCTCCGCTAGCACCAACGTGGTCCTGCGCCATGACGGCGCCGTGCGCTGGGACGCACCGGCCATCACGCGCAGCTCGTGCCGTGTGGACGTGGCGGCTTTCCCGTTCGACGCCCAGCGCTGCGGCCTGACGTTCGGCTCCTGGACCCACGGCGGGCACCAGCTGGATGTGCGGCCACGCGGCGCCGCCGCCAGCCTGGCAGACTTCGTGGAGAACGTGGAGTGGCGCGTGCTGGGCATGCCGGCGCGACGGCGCGTGCTCACCTACGGCTGCTGCTCCGAGCCCTACCCCGACGTCACCTTCACGCTGCTGCTGCGCCGCCGCGCCGCCGCCTATGTATGCAACCTGCTGCTGCCCTGCGTGCTCATCTCACTGCTCGCACCGCTCGCCTTCCACCTGCCCGCCGACTCTGGCGAGAAGGTGTCGCTGGGCGTCACCGTGCTGCTGGCGCTGACCGTCTTCCAGCTGCTGCTAGCCGAGAGCATGCCACCGGCCGAGAGTGTGCCGCTCATTGGTGAGCAGCTGGGGCACAGGGCAGGTGGGGGGGCGACAATGCACGGGGGGTTCCCCCAGGGTGGGGCCTCTACTGGGCCTGGGTCTGCGGAATGGCCCCGCTTCAGAGCGTGAGAGGGGCGTCCTGGGAACGTGTCCTGATTTTCAGACCGAGGAAAGGATTAGATGGTGGAACAAGGCCTACTTGGTGGTGGAACATCAGAGCCTACTAATAGGCAAAATCTATTGAGTGCTCGCTGTGTGCCAGGCACTCCCCTAAGCACTTAACCTTTATTAACTCAGGTAAGCATCACCACAAACCTAGGAAGCAGGCCCTCTAGTTATCTCCATTTGTACAGAAAGGATGTGTATCTTGCCCCAGCTCATGCCCATCGTTATTTGAGAGCAGGACTCTTCTGGATTGTGTATGAGTACAGCCTGCAGCGGTGAGGGGAGCAATTAGGGAGCAGTAGCTTCTGATGACCCACATGTAGGAATGAAGGATGGGAAGAACTAGGCCCCTACCTCCTTCCTGCTTCCATCCATGGAGCTTGGAGGGTCAGGAGAGCCTCATGCTGGGCTTATTTCCATTTGTGCAGAGGAGGCTCAGGATCCACAGGCTTTTGTTTTGAGTCTCAACTGGCTCTCTCTCTTGCAGGGAAGTACTACATGGCTACTATGACCATGGTCACATTCTCAACAGCACTCACCATCCTTATCATGAACCTGCATTATTGTGGTCCCAGTGCCCACCCAGTGCCAGCCTGGGCTAGGGCCCTCCTGCTGGGACACCTGGCACGGGGCCTGTGTGTGCGGGAAAGAGGGGAGCCCTGTGGGCAGTCCAGGCCACATGAGTCATCCCTTAGCCTTGAGCCTCCTGAGGGAGGGGCTGGCCACCCAGAGGGCCCTTGCCATGAGCCACGGTGTCTGTGCCGCCAGGAAGCCCTGCTGCGTCATGTAGCCACCATTGCCAATACCTTCCACAGCCACCGAGCTGCCCAGCGCTGCCATGAGGACTGGAAGCGCCTGGCCCGTGTGATGGACCGCTTCTTCCTGGGCATCTTCTTCTCCATGGCCCTGGTCATGAGCCTCCTGGTGCTGGTGCAGGCCCTGTGAGGACTGGGACTAAGTCACAGGGATCTGCTGCAGCCACAGCTCCTCCAGAAAGGGACAGCCAAGGCCAAGTGGCTGCTGGTCTTTAGGCCAGCCAGCCTCCCCACTACTCCTAAGACCCTGGACACTTGACTTCACAATCCACGAGGGAGCACTCATTGACTACACACCCTAACTAAAGGAAGTCCAGAGACCTAATTCCAAAAAAAGAGGAACTCTACAAAGGCAATGTCACAGAGTACAGTCTTGGAGGCACAGAATTGTTGGTGCTGGGTATTAGAGCTGTCCGTGATGAGCATGCTGGTTATTTTGAGAAACGGAACTGCCACAATTTCCTGTCTTCCTTCCTAGGTGGCTGCTTTGCAGGGCCTTGGCTCTTACCTTTCCCTGCCTAGGGGCGCAGGGAAAAGGATTGGGGATTCTCAGTCTAGTTTCCAGACAGGAGGCCCTATGGACATTTGGCCCCAAATTCCCAATTCAATAAAGTAAGCGTGTACCTAGCACCTCCTTGATATCCAGTATTACCCTTGAGGTCTGTGGTGGTGGAAGCTGGGGGTCCAGATCTGTCTGTACTTCAGGTCTGTCTCATGGCCGCTGGTGCAAGTCCTGGAATTCAAAGCCTGAGAACCTGAAGTTCTGATGTCCAATGGTAAGAGAAGGATGTCCCAGCTCTAGGAAAGAGCATGAATTTGCCTTTCGCCTGCCTTTTTGTCCTCTCCATGCCCTCCCACATTGAGACTGGAACTTGCCCACTCAGTCCACCAACTCACATGCCAATCTCCTGTTGAAAACCCTTAACGACACATCCAGAAAGAATGCTTCCCCAGCTGTCTGGGTATTAGTGGTGTCCATGGTAGTGGGTTATCATAACTTATGAATGCCACTTTCACTAAAGTTGTTATATAACCCCCTACTGATAAATTGGACTAGCTTAAAAAGAAAAAAAATTTAGGCAACCTGGGCAAGATAGGGAGACCCTGTCTTTATAAAAAATACAAAAATTATGGCTGGGTGTGGTGGCTCACGCCTGTAATCCCAGCACTTTGAGGGGGTCAAGGCGGGCAGATCACAAGGTCAGGAGTTTGAGACCAGCCTGGCCAATATGGTGAAACCCTGTCTCCACTAAAAATACAAAAAATTAGCCAGGTGTGGTAGGCACCTGTAATTCCAGCTACTCAGGAGGCTGAGGCAGGAGAATCGCTTGAACCCAAGAGGCTGAGGCTGCAGTGAACCAAGATCACAACACTGTACTCCAGCCTGGGCAACAACAGTGAAAATCCATCTTAAAAAAAAAAAAAAAAAGCCAGTACTTTGGGAGGTTAAGGCAGTGGATTACCTATTACCTGAGTTTGGGACCAGCCTGACCAACATGGAAAAATACATGTCTGTACTAAAAATACAAAATTAGCCAGGTGTGGTGGTGGGTGCCTATAATTCTAGCTACTCAGATGGCTGAGACAGGAGAATTGCTTGAACCCAGGAGGTGGAGGTTGCAGTGAGCCGAGATTGCACCATTGCACTCTAGCTTCGGCAACAGGAGTGAAACTCTGTCTAAAAATAAAAGAAAAAATAGGTGCGGTGGCACGCATCTATAGTCCCAGCTACTTGGGAAGCTGAGGTGGTAGGATTACTTGAGCCCAAGAGTTCAAGGCTACCATGAGCCATGATGCGAGGGGCCTCAGAAATCATGATTAGAGCAGAAATTACACCTGTACTGACAAAAAGAATGACTGGGATTTGACTGCAGTGCTGGCAGAGGACGAGAGCTCTCTCCTGCTCTCAGTGTGCTGGAGTTAGGCACTGTCCACCCCATTCCCACACATGGACAGTGAGAGCTTCAAAGTGTCCAAGGCAGGGGCAGTGCAGGGACCAGCCACTCATAGGCATTTTTTCCTTTCTGAGATTCACACATTTCCTGATACCACCTCTGTGCCTCAGACCCAGTCCCTTCCCTCAGGAAGCTTACAGTCTGACATGGCAGACAGACATGACACGTGGTATAGAGAAGCATCCAGGGCTCTGTATGGGAGCGTAGAGGCAGGGTCCCTACCCCAGCCCAGTGGGAGAGGTCAGAGAAGGCTTCCTGGAGGAGTGAACGGGAGCTTTGCAGATGGACATATGAGGCATCTGAATAACACCAGCAGGTATCACGGCCAAATGCTTTCCTCTTCAGTTACCCCCAAATCAGCAAAAGTCCTTTCTATCTCCAAGTGAGTTGCTGCCTGTCTTGAAGTCCCCCCCCAATCTCCCTACTGGCCCCAACCCATTATTCAGAGTCTTACTCGTAGAGCCCTGGGTAAGTTCAGTCCCCAGAGTGTCTCCTGTTTCTCCCCCAGCAGGTCTGACAGCTACCAGAGAAGGTCCTGGAGTTCCTTGCAGATGGGGTTGCCAGGAATCTTGGTTACACTGAAAGCACACATGGCCAACATCCTCAAGCTGGGCAGAGGTGGTGAGCAAGGCTGTCCTGTGTCTCATGCATCAAGGGAAGCCTGGAGCATCTGGAAAGGGCCTCACCGTGAGGAACCAGAGCAGTAGCAGCAGAGCCCAGACTGCAGAGAAGGGGCTTTGCCCCATGGCTGCAGAGAAAACAGGCAGAGGGGTTGGTGGGGAAAGAGAGAGAGGTATTTAGGGGCACAGGAGCAAAGTGGGGACACGCAGTTACAAGGTGGAGAGATTGGCAGAGCGAGCTGGACAGACTGACTTAAAATTGCCACGGGCAAAGGAGAAGATCAAGTTTAAGGAGGGGTGGTCCAATGGTAGTACATTATCAGAACTTACTAACACCAGTGTCACTGAAGTTGATGTACAGTCCCCCCACTGCTAAATTTGACCGGCTTAAAAAAATTTTAGACAACCTGGGCAACATAGGGAGATCCCTTCTCTATAAAAAATACAAAAATTAGCCTGGCGTGGTGACGTGTATCTGTAGTCCAAGCTACTTGGGAGGCTGAAGGTGGGAGGATCACTTGAGCCCAAGAGTTTGAGGCTACAGTGAGTTGTGGTAGCACCACTACACTCCAATCTGGGTGACAGACTGAGACCATGTCTCAAAAAAATTTTTTTTTAATAATTTAGGAAGGTAGACAGATGAAGAGACCAATTTAAGCCCCACTTTCTCTTCCAGAGGTCATTGGGTCTAACTTTCTGCCTTCTATTGGCATGAATAAGGCGCTGCAGAGTGGGATGAAACATGGATTCAAGATCGGAGTGGGATCTGCTGTGGCTGAACTTGGCTTCTCTAAACTCTGGTAGGAGAAGGTGCGGGGTGGACTTGGAGGAGAAATCTTAAACTTTCCAGTGCCTAGAATTAGATAATCAGAACTCAGAGATGCGTGGGTTGGAGGCTGGAAACCTGGCTTCTGGTCCTGGCTCTGCCACTAACTCACGGTCATCTTGAGCAAGTAGCTTCTCTCTCTGGGTCTCACTTGACCGTCTAAGGAGGGTAATGCTTCCTGTTCTGCCTCCTTCCCATAGATTATTGTGCAGTAAAGACAAGATGAAGGCCAGGTGCTGTGGCTCATGCCTGTAATTCTAGCACTTTGGGAGGCCGAGGCGAGAGGATCACCTGAGATCAGGAGTTCGAGACCAGACTGACCAACATGTCGAAACCCTATCTCTACTAAACAAATTAGCCGGGCGTGGTGGCCCACTCCTGTAATCCCAGCTACTCGAGAGGCTCAGGAAGGAATCGCTTGAAGCTGGGAAGTCAGGTTGCTGTAAGCTGAGATTGCACCACTGCACTGCAGCCTGCATCACAAGAGTAAGACTCAAAAAAAAAGAGATGATGTCTGGGGAGGTGCTGGGACCATCCTAGTGTGGTGGCTCAGAGTTTGGCTCTAGAGCTAGGCTAGACTCCCTAGCCTCCAGTTCTTAGTAGCTGGGTGGTATGAGTCGGCTGCTGTCTCCTCTTTGCACCTTTGTGCCTTGGTTCTGTCATCTGCAGAACAGAGGTGATGACAGTACCATTGGGGTGTGGTGAGGATGAATGGCATGATGTACCTGGAGTGGATCAGAGGAAGCTGGGGGGGTTCCTTCCTGCCCACTCACAGAGTTCTGAAGGACAAAGGGAGCACCCAAGGCTTGGGGAGGAACTACTGTTTCTTCCCTGGAAATGGCCCATTCCCATCTAGAGACACCAAGTGTCCAAGGGAAGAGAAGAGTCACAGCTGGGGATCATCTGGTCCAATTTGCTATTTATACACATGGAGAAACTGAGGCACAGAGAAAGAATGGGCTGGTCATAGACAAAGAGCAGAGCCTGGACTACAGCCCAGGCCTCCAGCACCCAAAGCTTGGCCTCGTGACCTTCCAAGGTGGGTTTGAGGGAGCCCTGAGGGCAGTTACAGAGACATTGGGTTCTGCACTGGGAGGCAGAGAAGGACCCAAGGAGGACTTTGTGGGGAGCAGCCCTTCCGTCCCTCAGCTCAGTGCAGCCTGAATCTTTCAGGGGCCTGATGACTGGCTTTTTCCTGCAAGGGACAGGCAGACTCAGGCTGGAGAGCAGGTGTCGCTCCCCCAACCATCTGCTCTCCCACACACATATCCCCTGGCTGAGGCTGGCAATCCCCAAGGTGCCACTTCAGAGAGTGCACTTTTTTTTTTTTTTTTTTCAATTTATGAGGTTGTTTTCTTATAAAAAGATCTAGGTGGGCCAGGTGCAGTGGCTCATGCCTGTAATCCCAGCACTGGGGAGGCTAAGACAGGTGGATCACCTGAGGTCAGGAGTTCAAGACCAACCTGATCAACATGGTGAAATTCTGTCTCTACTAAAAATACAAAAAATTAGCCGGACATGGTGGCATGTGCCTGTAATCCCAGCTACTTGGGAGGCTGAGGTAGGAGAATCACTTGAACCCAGGAGGCGGAGGTTGCGGTGAGCCGAGATAGCGCCATTGTGACATAAAAAGATCCAGGTGATGGGGCCAAGCCCAGGGCAGTCTGCTCATCCCTGAACTGAGTCCCACAGGTGCCTACAGGCCTTACCTGAATTATCCAGATGGCAAGGCCCAGACTTGCACTTCTTGTCTATAGAAAAGAAACAGTAAAGAATGAAAGGCTCAGGAGCTCTCAGGATGGAAAGGGACTCCCAAACCCTGGTGGTCCATTCCTGACTCGTTCTAGGAGAAGTTGGTGCATATCCCCCTAATTCTGCTCTTTCATGGTGGAATCTCCCTTGACTAGGTTTGCCTCAACCCCTAAGCAGCAGGGCCAGAAGGGAGTGGGCCATTAAAGCCACGGTCCACTCTGGGGCACTCCTGCTCCCTGGGCCTGTAACTTTGCCTCCCTGCCGCACTCATTGCTTCTTCTTCCATGCCTTGCCACAGCCTGGTTTGTGTTCTTCACATGCCTTCATCACCTTCTGTCAATTCATGCACACTCCTGATGCTGTCCAAAATAGGAAGTGAAGCCTACAGCCCTTCAGAAATTAAGAACCTGGGCCCATCCTCATGGTTCCTCTTCTGGCCTGTGCTGGGGCATGGACAGGAGGAGCGTCCACCACTTCCTGATCACAGCCTGAACTGGGCCTTAGGGGCACAGCACCCGACTGCTGTCTTCCTGCCCCCACCACCCCACCCAGCACACCCTGAAGCACAGAATCCCTCTTCCATCTTATAAATGCACTTTTCTCAGAAACTGAGGTTGGGGATCCTACTCAATTCTGGCAACAGCAGTCTAGGTGTCAGTAATCTGGCTGGAAAATAATTCCCTTCCAGCCTCCAACCAGGAGAAAAGCCCGACCAGGTCGGCTCGCCCACACAAATGGCCAGAGACCCCTGCCTTGGCCAGAATACCGCCTTTAGCCTTCTAGCAGGCAAGTGGCCAGCTGTGGCTTAGATCCCTCCAAGGGGCAGGAAGTGCACCCCTCAGAAGGTTATGTCTCCCCTTAGATGGAAGGGGTTGTGAGCTGGTGAATGTGACTGGCTGTATTTATGTATCCCTGGGACACAGGAGATAGGGGCTTGGGTTTGCCCAAGTCCCTGGTGGATGGGGAAGACCCACCTTCCGCACAGGTGCTGACTAGCGCTTGCCCTCCTACCTTTGATGTACTCGCAGTTGTAAGTGCTGTGCTTGCCCAGGGCCCGGAGGTAGATGCGGGCGGGCCCCTGGGCCGGTCTGCTGGCATTGATCACTTGGAAGGTCTCAAAGGGGGGAATCAGCACCTCTTCCTCTCCAGGGAAGAAGGAGTAGCCCTTGATAGGGGCCCCAAGGCAGGTCCAGATGCCAAAGAAGGTGTCCTCACCAAACTGCTGGGCTGCAACATTCTTCAGGGAAGCGGAGGCAAAGCCCCCCAGCCTCACGGTGGCCCTAGGCCCTGCTGGTCGGAAGCGCAGGCCGTTCACGCCTCGAAACACCTGGTGGCACCGGGGTGGACGCTGCCTCCTTCCCAGCAGCTGCAGGGCCTCAGTCAGCAGGAAATGGAGTGTCTTAAATGAGAAGTGTTGGAGGTAGTGGGCCCGGGAGCGGCCTGCCTCACGCACCGCTGCGTTGAACTCCTTGTGCAGGGGGCTGTTGGCTGTGTAGGCCAGGAGGGCCACCCCATGCTCATTGCGGAAGCCTGGAGGTGGCGGAGGTGAACTGGTAGGGCTGAGGCTCCATTCTGGACCCCAGGCCTGGCGCTCCTGCCATTGGCTGCTTGCTAGTGCCCAGCCGTCTGCATATACCTTGTTGGCCTGGAACTCCGTGTGGTTGAGATCCGGGAGAGCAGCTGTCATGGCGGTGGCACAGCCAGCGTACTGGTCATCAAAGGAGGTCAGGGCCATGTCCAGCGGCATCTCTTGAGAGAAGAGGTCTCGGTGTGTGATGGTGTGACTCTGGGCCTGATGGGGCAGGAGCAGCAGGGACTGAGAGGATAGGCCCCTGGGAGAATAAGTCCCCTGCCATCCAGCTCTGCCCTCCACTGAGAAAGGCACCAAGGGCCCCAAACACACCTGGAGGGGAAGGGGATTGGGAACCTCTGGCTATAATTTCCCTAAGACTAGCATCTGGGGCTGTCCCCTTAGGATGAGTGATCCCCAAGGGAAGTATCAGGCATTCTTTCCTCTCTCTCTTTATCCATCCAGGGTTCAGAAGAAGCCGATGGCTCAGTTCCCTGCTGGGATGGGGACAGTGGGGGATGCCCATACCTGAAGTGCTTCCATGAGGCCCACAGACACAAGAAGCAGAGACATCATGGCAGGCATCTGCATGCTGGTGACCCTAGGCCAGTTGCTGTCTCTCTTTGGGTCTCAGTTTCCTCATCTGGAAAATTGCAGTGTTAATCTGTATAGTTTAATAAACATGAATCGACACTTAGTCTGTGCCATTCCTAGTGCTTGGCACTGAGAGTCGTAAGATAGATGTGGAGGTTCAGAAGAGAGAGGACCGTCCTTGCTGGAAGGAACATGGGTGACTTCCTGGGGGCAGTGACGTGAACAGGGTCTTGCAGGATGAATAGGAGACTAAGATGTCAGCAAGTGGAGACTGGGAGAGAAAAGACTGGCATTTCGGATGGGAATGGACTTCTGTGCAGCAGGAATGGGAAAAGCAAAGGTATTGGAGGTGGGAATCTGAGGATGTGAAGAGGGAAAGACATGTCATCTAGGCTGGCAGAGCTTGCAGGGTGGGAACATTGGGAAGACAGGGGCCACTCATGAAGGGACTCGACTGCCACAGTGAGAGGCCTGGGTATCACCTCACAGGGCTTGTGGGGTTGGGACAGGGGCAGATCAAGGAGTGTTCAGCTGATATGGCCTTAGCAGGACTCCAGGTCCAGGGGTCGCCCCCTTTCCCTGCAGTCCTCTTGTGGAATGAGTCTTCGGTGCTTCCAGGGAGGGACAGATATAAACCCTGGGTGCTAGGGGAATAGGGGATCATAAGAGCAGGAGAGGACAGAAGGTACTGGCTTCCCCAAGGGAAGTGGTGGGAACCACAAGCCTTCTGCACCCTCCCTGTTGGGGGACAGGTGGAGTGCCCCAAGTGGCTCCAGGCATCGGGTCTCAAATGGAACAGGCAGTTTTTTTTCTTTTCTTTCTTTCTTTTTTTTTTTCTGAGACTGAGTCTCACTTTGTTGCCCAGGCTGGAGTGCAGTGGTGTGATCTCAGCTCACTGCAACCTCTGCCTCCTGAGTTCAAGTGATTCTCCTGCCTCAGCCTCCTGAGTAGCTGGGACTATAGGCACCCAACACCATGCCCAGCTAATTTTTGTATTCTTAGTAGAGATGGGGTTTCACCATGCTGGCCAGGCTGGTTTCAAACTCCTGGCCTCAAGGTATCTGCCCGCCTTGGCCTCCCAAAGTGTTGGGATTACAGGCGTCAGCCACCGTGCCCGGCCTTATTGTCATTTTATTACCTTTTTTTTACCTTTTTTTATTACATTTATTACCTTTTTTTCTCGGAAAAAATACAACATGAACTTTCTTCCATGTCAGTACATAAATATCTCCCTTGCTCATATTATGGCAGCTTAGTATATCTCATGGTGTAAACCATAATTAACAATTTCATAACTTATGAACACTTAGGTTTTCTTCCTAATTTTAAAATATTATACACAATACTACAGTGAATATTCAGGTATATGAATTCTTGTCTACTTGTGTGCGTGTTTTCATAGGAAAGATTTTAAGAAGTAAAATGAGATTTAAAGAATATGAATATTTTTTATTTTGATAGAAACTGCCACCCCAACAATGGATGAGAGTGCCCTTTATTCCACATCTTTGCCAGTGCTGAATATGATTGATCTCTTTTTAATTTCCATTTAACTGGCAGGCACAATGGTATCTACTTTTTGTTTGTTTGTTTGAGACAGCGTCTTGCTCTATTGCCCAGGCTGTAGTGCAACGGCACAATCATAGCTCACTGCAGCCTTAACCTCTCAAGCTCAATCCATCCTTCGGCCTCAGCCTCCCGAGTAGCTAGGACTACAGGCACACACCACGATGCCTGGCTTATTTTTATATTTTTTTGTAGAGATGGAGCTTTGCCTTGTTGCCCAGGCTGATCTTGAGTTGCTGGGCTCAAGCGATCCACCCTCCTTGGCCTCCAAAGCCTTGGGATTACAGGCATGAGCCACAGCTCCCAGACTCTGTTTTCTTTCTGAACACAAATGTTAATATAGTGAGTGATTCTTTATCTTTTGGAATCTGACAAAAGCTGAAACCCCCCCTTCAGAAAGTGATTATATGCGCCTTCACACAAATGTTACATAAATATCAGGGTGGTTATGCCTCTGCCCCCAATCTCATTTAGGCTAAATGTCAGTGCTTTATCCTCCCCTCTGGCTCTGGGAGACTTAAGTTTGGATAACTCAGTGACTCTAAGACCCTGAGATCCTATGTGTCTATAAGTTTATGAATCTCCAAACCTAAGATTCTGTAATTGCTAATATACAATTTAAATTTGACGTATGAGCGTCTCTGGGCAATGGGGTTAGCCATAGTTTTTACTAAATTCCACGTGTCCAAAATGGAGCTCATTATCTTCTCCCCCTCAAAAGCTGCTTACTCATTTACTCAACAATTATTGTTATTTTAGCATCTGTAGCATGTCAGGCACTAAGGATATAATTATGAACAACTAGAGCCAGGCATGGTGGCTCCAGCCTATAATCCCAGCACTTTGGGAGACTGAGGCTGGAGGATTAGTTGAGCCCAGGAGTTTGAAACCAGCCTGGGCAATATATGTGTGGTGGTGCATACCTGTAGTCCCAACAACTCTGTCGGCTGAAGGTAGGAGGATTGCTTGAGACCAGGAGGTTGAGGCTGCAGTGAGCTATGAAAACCCACTTCCCTGAGCAGGGTGCGGTGGCTCACGCCTATAATCCCGGTACTTTGGGAGGCTGAGGCGGGTGGAGCATGAGATCAGGAGTTCAAGACCAGCCTGGCCAACATGGTGAAACTGTCTCTACTAAAATGAGGGCTGGACGTCAGACTTCCTGTCCCTTAGAGGGTCCCCAGTGGGCCTAGTTGATCACAGTGGTAAGAGGCTTTTTATTGGCTGCTTTTCTCTTCTCTGACTTTGCCACTCTTTTTCTCTTCTCCGTCTGACTTTTTTTTTTTTTTTTTTTGAGACGGAGTTTCGCTGTTGTTGCCCAGACTGGAGTGCAATGGCACAATCTCGGCTCACCGCAACCTCCGCCTCCTGGGTTCAAGCAATTCTCCTGCCTCAGCCTCCCGAGTAGCTGGGACTACAGGCATGCACCATCATGCCCAGCTAATTTTTGTATTTTTAGTAGAGACGGGGTTTCACCTTGTTGACCAGGATGGTCTCGATCTCTTGACCTCGTGATCCACCCGCCTCGGCCTCCCAAAGTGCTGGGATTATAGGCATGAGCCACCGTGCCTGGCCCCGTCTGACTTTTGCCACTACTAAAAATAGGAAAATTAGCTGGGTGTGGTGGCAGGCGCCTGTAATCCCAGCTAGTGCTCGACTTACGACCACGGTCAGGACCGCGGACCGGTCGTAACACGATTTGGTCGTAAGTTGAGTAGGCTATATGTACCGTTGAAATGGTGCACGCGGAGATGCTAGTGCTGCCGGAAGTTGGTCTGCACTGTCGTATGTCCAGCTGGGCAACGTTTGCGCTGCCAGACGCGGAGCAGTCGTGGCTAGCGATTGTGGTCGTAAAGTCGAATGGTCGTAAGTTGCATAGGTGGTAAGTTGATCAATACCTGTATTTGGGAGGCTGAGGCAGAGAATTGCTTGAACCTGGGAGGTGGAGGTTGCAGTGAGCTGAGATTGTGCCACTGCACTCCAGCCTTGGTGACACAATGAGACTCCATCTCAAAAAAAAAAAAAAAAAGTATAATTTCAAGTAGTATGTGATGCATATTACAAAAGAAACAAAAGGAGCCGAACTAAAACAAATTGGTAGCAGGAGTGCTATTTAAATGAGGATCTAACCAGCGGAAGCACACAGTATATACAAAACAGCATCAGCTGGGCATTGTGGTGTATGCCTATAATCTCAGCTACTTGGGAAGTTGAGGCAGGATGATCACTTGAGCCCAGGAGTTTGAGATCAGCTTGTCTCATTAGAAAAATAAAAATAGCTGGGTGCGGTGGCCCAAGCCTGTAATCCCAGCACTTTGGGAGGCCGAGGCAGGTGGATCACGAGGTCAAGAGATCGAGACCAGACCGGGCACGGTGGCTCACGCTTGTAATCCCAGCACTTTGGGAGGCCGAGGTGGGTGGATCACGAGGTCAAGAGATCGAGACCATCCTGGTCAACATGATGAAACCCCATCTCTACTAAAACTACAAAAAATTAGCTGGGCATGGTGGCGTGTGCCTGTAATTCCAGCTACTCAGGAGGCTGAGGCAGGAGAATTGCCTGAACTCAGGAGGCGGAGGTTGCGGTGAGCCGAGATCGCGCCATTGCACTCCAGCCTGGGTAACAAGAGCGAAACTCCGTCTCCAAGAAAAAAAAAAAAAAAAAAGAGATCGAGACCATCCTGGTCAACATGGTGAAACCCCATCTCTACTAAAAATACAAAACATTAGCTGGGCACGGTGGCGTGTGCCTGTAATCCCAGCTACTCAGGAGGTTGAGGTAGGAGAATTGCCTGAACCCAGGAGGCGGAGGTTGTGGTGAGCTGAGATCGCGCCATTGCACTCCAGCTTGGGTAACAAGAGTGAAACTCTGTCTCAAAAAATAAATAAATAAAATTAAAATTAAAAATAAAAATAGTCAGCATGGGGCCTCATGTCTGTAATCCAGCACTTTTGGAAGCCGAGGCGGTAGATAATCTGAGGTTAGGAGTTTGAGACCAGCCTGGCTAAAATGGTGAAATGCTGTCTCTACTAAAAATACAAAAAATGAGCTGGGCATGGTGGCACTCACCTGTAATCCTAGCTACTTGGGAGGCTAAGACAGGAAAATCAGTTGAACCTGGGAGGCGGAGGTTGCAGTGAGCTGAGATTGGACTACGCCACTCCAGCCTGGGTGATGGAGCAAGACTCCATCTCGAAGAAGCAGGAGCAGGAGCAGGAGCAGGAGTAGGAATAGAAGAAAGAAGAAGAAAATGTCATCACAGTGGGATGTAAACCATAAGAGACTTTACCCATTCCAGGATGGAAGGCTATTGGTCAGAGTTTGTGGCAGCCAAAAAAAATGACTGGAGGCTGGGCATAGTGACTCACATCTGTAATCCCAGCACTTTGGGAGTCTGAAGCAGGCGGATCACTTGAGGTCAGGAGTTCGAGACCAACCTGGACAACATGGTGAAACCCTGTCTCTACTACAAATACAAAAAAATTAGCCAGGTGTGGTAGTGCTCACCTGTAATCCCAGCTACTCCAGAGGCTGAGGTAGGAGAATCACTTGAACCTGGGAGGCAGAGGTTGCAGTGAGCTGATATTGTGCCACTGCACTCCAGCCTAGGCGACAGAGTGAGACGCAGTCTCAAATAAAAAAAAAAAAAAAAAAAAAAAAAAAAAGTCTTGAGCTTTTGTCTGTGGTCTCTTGAAGTCCACCAAGGAGGCTTGAGCTACTGTACTAGTTCCTCACTTTCCTGTGTAGACTCCAGTCATGGGCTCAGGTGGGGCTTTTCTCACTCTATGCACTCCAAGAGGGGAACACATGCCCCAGAACTGGTGCCCTAAGGCCTTGACCATGGTGATTGGTTCATGGATGGACACAGGACCCAAGAAGGCCAATCAGAGTCTTCCTGAGAGTTGATCTATGGATGCAAAGAGAATGTACCTGACACTGTGGATTCCTCAGTCCCTATCCCCGGAGCCCGTCTTCAAGCCCACATGCAGGTGCAGTGGATAGTTCTCATGCAGGCTGTCAGCCTCCCACTTCTAGGGCTAACATTTTTCTGTGTCTGAGGCATTCTCCATCACCCTGGGAGCCTATTTTTTGCAAGCACAGGGAAGGCCAAAAGTGTAGGGAATTTAATGTTCCCAAGGACAGCCTTCAACCAATGAGGGCTGGGAGTCAGACTTCCTGACCCTTAGAGGGTCACCAGTGGGACTAGTTGATCACAGTGGTAACAGGCTTTTTATTGGCTGTTTCCTCTTCTCTGTCTGACTTTGCCACTCCCTCACTTGTATTTCTTGGGATTACTTTACAATGAAGCTCACTGTACCCATGGACTTGTCTATGGGTCTGCTTTTGGGGGAAGGAAACTGAGAGCGTTTTCTTTGGAAGATTCTTCTTTAGTCTGGACCCCCAGAATGAACAGGTGAGGAACAGACCTGAGCCCAGCCCAGAGCAAGGAAGAGCCCCGCAGAGCCAGATGGGCAGCCTGAGCAGAGCTGCCCGAGCAAGTCCAGTTTAGACGAGCCAATCAACATCAACCCGAAGACCATGAGCATGGAAGTAAATGTGTGTTTGCCACTGAGATTTTGTGGCACATGGCAAAATGATTATGCAGCAAAAGCTCACTGGGCCAGCTGTATCTCTCATTGTGTCTCCACAGCCCTGTGCAAACAGAGCTGTATCTGTATCCTGTATCTGCTCTACAGGAAACGAGACAGACCAGAGGCCTGGGGTGGGGGAGAGGCATGAAGGCAGACGGAGGACATGGAATCAGAGGACCCGACTAAGAGAATGGCAGTGAAGATAGACACAGAGTTAGGAGGTAGAATTTACAAGATTTGATGTCTGACAGGTTATAGGGGATGTGAGAGAGGGAAAAATCAAGGATGACACCCAGGTTTCCATACTTTAAACTGGAAATGCAGAGAAGTGGACTAGACTTAAAAAAAATGAAGCTGCTCTTCTATTGCATATCTTCTTTCACCATTCTTATGTGACTGCAGAGTGTCCTGGTCCAACACAGCCCTGTGCAACTTTTTTTGTTTCAGCCTCATTGAGGTATAATTAGTATACAAAAAAAACTGCACAAAATTAATATATACAATTTGGTGAGTTTGGAAATAAGCTACATTTATGTTACTATTACCACAATCAAGGTAATGAACAGCTTTGACACCTCCAAGTTTCCGTGTATCCCTTTGTTTTCATTATTTATTTATTTACTATTTTGAGACAGGGTCTCACTCTGTCGCCCAGGCTGGAGTGCAGTGAACCTCTGCCTCCCAGGTTCAAGGGATTATCCCACCTCAACCTCCTGAGTAGCTGGTACTACAGGTGCCCTCCACCATGCCCAACTATGTCTCTCATTGCGTCTCCACAGCTCTGTTTCTGTCTGCATCTGCTCTACAGTAAACGAGATAAATCAGAGGCTTGGGGTTGGGGAGAGGCGTGAAGACAGACTGAGGACATGGGATCAGAGGACCTGATTTTGCATTTGTATTTAGTTGTGAAGAGTTTTCGTCATGTTGACCAGGCTGGTCTCAAACTCCTGACCTCAGGTGATCCACCTGCCTAGGCCTTTCAAAGTGCTAGGATTACAGGTGTGAGCCACTGCACCTAGCCTTGTTTTTTTTTTTTGTTTTTTGAGATGGAGTTTCACTCTTGTTGCCCAGGCTGGAGTGCAATGGTGTGATTTCTGCTCACTGCAACCTCCGTCTCCTGGGTTCAAGAGATTCTCCTGCTTCAGCCTCCCAAATAGCTGGGATTACAGGCATGCGCCATTATGCCTAGCTAATTTTGTATTTTTAGTAGACACAGGGTTTCTCCATGTTGGTCAGGCTGGTCTCAAACTCCTGGCCTCAGATGATTGATCCGCCTCGGCCTCCCAAACTACTGAGATCACAGGTGTAAGCCACTGTACCTGGCCTCTTGTTTTTATTTTTATTTTGTTTTGTTTCGTTTTTGAATTTCATGTAGCAAGAACACTTAATGTGAGATCTAGCCTCTTCACTCATGTTTAAGTGCACAATAACTTTTTGTTACTATAGGCACGATGTTATACCAGAATAGACTTGAAAAACCCATCTTGCTTATTATCATAGTCCCACTTAGAAATGTATTGAATGAATGATTGGGTTTGGAGGGGAAATGGTGAGTTCACTTTGGGAAATGTGAACTCCCTGGAGCAAATGTCCAAGAGGTATTAGAATGGATAATCAAGGAGACATCTGAGTCACAGGTGATTGAAATCAGGGAAGAAATGAGGTCCCCAGAGCAAGAGGAAAAAGAAGGCTGAAAGGCAGAGGGCAAGCTGCTTGATGGATGAAGCAGGTCAGGTGGAGCCACACTCCTCCTTGGCTTTCTAAAGGCTCTTTGCATCTGGCCCTTGGGTTTCATGAGACACTCTGGTATCCTTGTGATAAAATCCTCTTTAGGCTTAGTTTATCTCAGGGTGGCTCCTGTTAATTTGCCTTGGCAAGTCTCACGTGATAAACCATCCCTGTTATTCACCCAGTCACCCATGGTGGTCACCTGGGTGTCCATTCAGTCAGTCATTCATCAAACATTCACATAGTTGCCATCTAATGCTGGGTGAGATGGAGTCCATCCTAGATTCTCCTTCCCTTCAACATCCCCGCCATCTGCCCCGGCTCAGGTTTGTCCCTGGCTCCTTGCTGACCTCCCCACCTCCAAAGTTAGCCCTGCTAACCTGCCTGCCCAGGAAGAGCGATGTTTTTAAAGGGCAACTCTGGTCATGTTCATTACCTGCTTAAAAGCCCTCTGTGCCAAAACTGACTAGAAGTATCTCGGCCAGGCGTGGTGGCTCATGCCTGTAATCCAATCACTTTGGAGGCCAAGGCAGGTGGATCACCTGAGGTCAGGAGTTCAAGACCAGCCTGACCAACATGGTGAAACCCTGTCTTTATTTAAAAAAAAAAAAAAAAAAAAAGAAAAAAAGAAATATCTCAAAATACAGAGTAAAAATGCAGAGATGAAAATTATGAGGGAAGAGATAAGAATATATCTAAGGGGCAGGCGAGGTGGCTCACACCTGTAATCCCAGCACTTTAGGAGGCCGAGTTATGTGGATCACGAATTCAAGAGATCAAGGCCATCCTGGCCAACATGGTGAAACCCCATCTCTACTAAAAATACAAAAAAAGGCCGGGCGCAGTGGCTCACACCTGTAATCCTAGCACTTTGGGAGGCCAAGGTGGGTGGATCACCTAAGGTCAGGAGTTCAAGACCAGCCTGGCCATCATGGTGAAACCTCATCTTAAAAAAAAAACAAAAAACAAAAAAAATTAGCCGGGCGTGGTGGCACGTGCCTGTGGTCTCAGCTACTCGGGAGGCTGAGGCAGAAGAATCGTTTGAACCCAGGAGGTGGCGGTTGCAGTGAGCCAAGAGACTGCGCCACTGCAGTCCAGCCTGGTGACAGAGCAAAACTCCGTCTCAAAAAAAAAAAAAAAA